TTAATTGAGGTAGTTGTTTTCTATTTCGTCATCAAGTTTAATTTAATCCAAGTTTAACAATAGATTTAGTTATTTAATTGAGGTAGTATATTCTATCACTACTACTAACTTGATTCTAGCCGTACAAGTAAAAACGAAATTGCTTGAATATGATGTTATTATTATTTTCTTTCAAAATTTATGTCATTTATTATGTTGATTTTTTTATTTTTTATTTTTACAATTTATTATGGTGAAATGAAGGTAGCAACACACTAGTAGTAAGGTTTATGCTCTAGGAGCTGTGGGTTTAAATGAGCAGTGATTGGTATATTTATTTGTGAGAGGATGGGTCAAAATGAATATTAATGCTTCTGTATTTGGTATATGATCTAGGAGTATTGGGTTTGAATAAGTAATGATTGATATATTCATCGGTCTAAGGAATTGGTCAAAGAAAATAGTAATGCTTCTTTTTTCGGTGGAGAGAGGGGTTTTAAAATATAATGTCGTGATATAGAATAATAAAAGCGAGACATGTTATAATTCTTATAAGAATGGTTGTTTTGTGGCAAAAACGTAAATTTTTTTTTAAATTATTATATTGAAATAAATTATCACTTAAAAAATATATAATGTAATTTATCAATTTAAACTTTTATTCTTAAGAAATTAATTCAATGGTAAATTTTAAGAATAATAGTTTAATGATAACAATTAAATTTAAGTTAATTTTTTCAAAATAAAAATATAAAATAATAAATTATACCAATATTTTTTTTGTGTGACGATTTATTTAAAAGTAATCATTTTGAGAGAAGAATTTGCACATTTGACCATTATTTTTTCTTTTAAACAATATGAAACTTTTTCAGAAAAGAGAAAAAAGAGATTTGAGATTTGATCCCAAAATCACTAATTCTACGCATATACCACAAGGAGGTGGTCAGTAAGCCACCAAGTGCGGAATGCACATTTGACCATTGTTTTTTTTTTTTAAACAATATGAAACTTTTTCATAAAAGAGGAAAAAGAAATTTAAGATTTGATCTCAAATTCACTAATTCTACGCATATACCGCAAGGAGGTGGTCAGTAACCCGAGTGCGGAATGCACATTTGACCATTGTTTTTCTATATTTAAAGGGTAGATATTAACAATGGTGTATGGTGTGCAGCTCGCGATTGATCTAGGTTTTAGGTAGTAGGTGATTGAAACTGATTTCAGCCAGGGGGATAGCTGAGGTAAATGAAGGGATGGAGTTGACCTCAACTATGGTGCTTTAGTAGTTGAGATTCGTTGCTTAGTGGCTGGGGTTTTGGTTTTGGTCTTGGTTTTGGTTTTTGTCATCTTAGGTGTGAAGCTAATATTCGTGCTCATGATAACTGAGCACGCTTAGCACCTGATGTGAAGGGTGAGAGGATTTGAATATGGGCTGCTCATGGTCTTGTTTTTCCTACTCATTGAACTCTTTTTCAATCAATGG